AACAAAATCACCCAGCAGCACAGCAGGACTGGGAATTGTTCCGAGTTTGGGACAGCACTGAGCTGGAGAACACGGAAGAGGAGGAGATTGAGCATCATTTTCAGCATCGTGCTGATGTATCGAAGGAACAAACGGGATTGATCATGCCCCCAAGCTAAAACATATGCATGTATGCAGGACATGAGGTGTTGCTTTAATTTTTGTATATAATAGGCACCATCCTAGTCCAGCAGCCCAGGTCAGATGTTCTTCAGCGCCCTCTGTCCTTGCAGTCGCCTGCTCCGCTTCGACCTGGCCAGCAAACGGAGGACCAGAATGGTGCCGGTGGCAAGGGTGGTGTCAAGGGTGGTGGCAACAAGGATCCTATCCCCAAAGCAACACCCAAGAAGGCTTCAAAGGTGCCAAGCTTGTCGAAGAAGCTTGCAGGGAAGGTGTCAACTGTATCTAGCAAGCTCACGGAGCTCAAGTGCATGACGACCCAAATTGACACATCGAATTTGCCACTTGTCGTTTTGAGAAGATTGAGTTAAATGTTTGCAAATGTTCCCTGACATATCTATCCCAGTCATCCTACCAATCCATTAAGGTCAGAACCGATGAAGGTTGCGTACAAGGGAGAGGTGTCAGCCACGTCGACTGCACTTGAAGCAGTCAAGACGGAGCTTGAAACTTGGTATGCTCAGAGAATCCCAGATAATCAGATTGTTGGGGCTGTCAAAGAGACCTACGATGGATTGATGGCACGCGCTGATGGAGAGCTCAACAGCTTCGCAGGGACAGCGAAAACAATTCGCAGTGCTGTCATTCCTAATTTTAATATTGACATGAAATTTGTGTATTTTTCTTGATGCATGTCTGTGCATGCCTATGCAAAAACATTTGTAGCTGCCCAAGGCTCCACCGAAGCCAAAGCCCAAGGGCAAGGCCAAGGCTAAGAGTGCTCCAGTCCCAGTTGAGCCTGCTGGGCCTACTTCCTGATGGAAGCAGTGTGTGCCTGCTGATTTTGCTAGCTAGCTAGCTAGCTAGCTAGCTAGCTAGCTAGCACGGGTTCAAGATTGAACACATGCTCTGGAACCATGCGTGTGTTTTTGAAAGATTTTGGATGTTCAGCTGCTGTGTACGTAGCCAGCCTGTTCAGCCAGGGAAATTATATCGAAAGAGTTCATTCGTTTTTCTATATCTAGAGATCTGTTTTGCTCTTTCTGGTATCTATGTGGCTGATGGGAGTGCTGCTGTAGCCTGTGCACAAGTAGCGTGGCAATCAAAGGAGACCGATGTACTGGGGAAAAAATTGACCTCCAACTTGTTAACATGTTTTTGGTGACCCCTCCAACTATCCTTCAAGTTTTGACATGGCCCCAAGGTGTGTCAAAACCCACGCAGGTCCATCAGCACCGGTGGTATCTCCTCTATTCAAACATATTATGGAGGATGTTGGCAGTGGAGATCCTTGGAAGAACATACCAGCCCGCCCACCCTCCAATGGCCACCTGTAGACAGAGAGTTGTTTGCCCTCGATCTTCACTGCTTGAGTAGCTGCCACCTGCATGCCAGTGAGGATTCATCATTTCAACGCTCTCACTCGTTGCTATGTGCAGTCAACAAGGACTTGGGGCTGTATGCACAATCCGTTGTCATAATCGGATGTTTTGAGTACAGGAAATGAACTTTCATGGCATTTCTATGGCTGGACCTGTAAAACGTATGCACAATGCCGGGGCACGTGGCCGATGGAAAACAAATCTTCAAAGAGACATGCTTCGGCAAGTCCAACATGTAGCATCTAGACTGACATACGACTAGTACTTGAGTTAGTAACACTGTATCATGTGCATGCAGCTTTGCATACACCTAGGTACCTGTTGATATGGTTGAGGTGCCCCTGAAAATGCCTCAACATGATGAAGCAATCTTTTTCAAGAGCCTTGGTGACTTTGCAAACTTTGCAATATGTATGCATGCATGTATGTCTAGCATTTTTGATGTTGACGGTATTTCAATCAAGGAAGTTGCCAGTCGTCCTCCCTCACAAACTGATCCCGTGGATGATGGAAAACGGCTTGTACCCTCAAGATGCACTGGACAAAGATGCTGTCTCAGCTTACTGGGACCATCTGGGTTCACAGGTAGACTGGGCTTCTTCACATGTGAAGCAGTGTGGCAAAGCTTTTCAACCACTATGGTTATGGGGTGATGACGCAACATACAACTCAGTAAATGACAAGCTGATCACTGTTTCAATCGGTGCAGTCCTTGACATGCAGAAATCCTCAATACGTACAGTCTGGCCTTTGTTTTGCTATCGTTTTGAAACTTGGATGCAAACGTAAGGGCTTAGCTAATTCATTTGCTGTCTTCAAACATGTATTCTGGGATTATGGAAGTCCATAATTATTAAGGAGGAAGCGTCTGGCTTTGACACCTTGAATGCCTTCCTGAAACCTGTATCTTTCCTGCACTGCTCACGCATGTGTGATTGCCAACCTTAATGGATTCTGTTCTTAAGTATCTAGCTGTTACATTGTCATGAGGTAGCTGCTTCCCTCAACACCCTCTTTGAGGGTGTGCCCTACCAGCTCCATGGATCGTCTCGTCACAAGACCTACGTGCGAGCATGTGTGACACAGTATCAAGGAGATTGGAAGTGGCATAAAGACACTATCACGCAATTGTGTTTACAAATTGGTGTGTTGTTTGCATAGAATATTACAGATATCATTGGTTCTACTGATCAGGAATGGTTCAACCTGACTGCAATGTGGAAAGCAAACCATCTATGTCATGCTTGCTTCACGACCCAGTCTACATACTTGACCCTCCCAAACAAGCTGGAGAATGGAGAGAGGAGGACACTGGACAACTTCATTAAGTCAGCTTGCCGGCGGGGTGAGAAGAGTTTCCTGTTTGCAACATGTGTGCCAGCAATTCCTTGTAAGGGTATGGAATTCCAGCCCTGCCTAGGTGCTCTTTGCAATGTGGTGTCCTTTCACCCGCAGCAGATCAAATTCTGTGCGATGCACAGTGTCAACTTAGGGTATGTTTTGTGGGCAGCTGGTAGCGGCTTGGATCTCTTGATTTCGAAAGGGGTTTGGGGAAGCAACGATGTGGCCTATGAGACCAAGCTGAAACGTTCCTGGAATGATTTCCTCCACTGGGCCAAGCAGAGAAAAATCCAGTAGCTTTCTTGCAGGCTTTTGCAATTAAGATCAAGAGATCCATGTTTGAATGTTCCGTTCGTTTTCCCAGGGATCTTTCTATGTGAAGAGTCCAAACTCGCCGTATCCTGAACTCCATGCCAAAGCATATAATGTCCCTTTGATTGATCTAAGGATATGCTTTGAACACTTGTCTCCTTCACCCTCCCCCTGTTGCCTTGATCTCGCTATGCTGCCATGGCAGGCCAGAGTGGTTGCAGCATGGCTATCGGATCTGACCTGTGAATTGCTGAACAAGTCTGCTGCTTGTAATGCTGTGGATGGTGACCTACAGCTTCTTGCGTCATGCATGCAGCCGGGTTCCAACTTGAAGGGTCTGAGAAGTTGAGTCCAATTGCAAAGGTGGGTTGATGTTGACTAGTTACGATCTTGGGGGGTTCAGCTTTGGTACAACCTTGGGGAGTGGTTCAACGTCAGTGAGCAGAACGCCAGGATCTTGACTTCATCCTGTGCCCGGCACATGATGAATTTCAGTGATAGGTCACTACAGGCCTACTTGCAGCTAGCTGAACAAGCGGTGGCCAATGGTGTATTTCGCTTTCCCACCAGACCAAAAATACATGTTACCTGGCTGGCTGTTGTCACCTCTATAGAAAATTACACATGTGAAGCTGTGATACCTCAGGCTTGGATGGAGATTGCTTTTGGCCAGGTAGATGACCGCAACTTGGCATCACGAGCTTCTGCACTAGAAGCTCTTGACAGCAGTACAAGCTGCGATCCCAGGAATCAATGCACGTTTCCTCCACTGTTTCAAAATGGAGGATTGGATTGGCATCGTCAAGAGTCTCTTTCCTGCATTTCATATTCAATTATACTCGATGAAACACAGGATGCATGCAAACGTAACCAGCTTCCAAAAAAAAATCCACTGTGCCCTAGGGATAGCGAGAAAGACGCATCCTGCCAATATGGAGATCAATGTCATCAAGAAGTGTTACCTGAAGCTCCGTTATTTAGAAGACTCTTCTGAAAATGAAGAGGAAATTTGATGGGATTGTTGGCAGGGACAGCCAACTTGTTGCGCTTCAGTGCAAAAGGTGTGCCCAGAAGTATGCCTGCTTTTGCTCATGGTCCCTGAGTAATGTACTTAGGGCTTAAGTACGTAGGTATGATGGATTCGGATTCTTAGGGTGTGGGTCTCAGAGAGCAGATTATCACATCAACCAGTGCGCCGTTGAGGCCTTTGTGAGCGGAGCAAACTCACAGTAGCCCGAGCGCCCAACATCAGCACCAAGCATCTTCCAGCTGCTCGTCGGAGCCAGTTCTGCGCCAGAACGCGCAGAATCTACCGCAGCGTGCCCGGATGTAGGACGCCGAGCGCCAGCAACACGAACACCCATCAAAATTGACAAAATTGAATTCTAGGGTGCAAGTTCGGAAGTTTGCACATCATGCCAGAAAGGCAGGGCTTCCGAAAAACTCCGTGCAGCCTAGAGTGGCCTAGAGCTGCTTCACTTTCGCACTCGCCTCTTCTTGCCACGCGAAGGGAAATCCGCTGGATTTTCGCTGGAGGGGACAAAGATAAAATGCAGCTGAAGATTTCCAGCCATCGCCAGAGAAGCGACCTTCCGCAACAGCCTGTTCAACTGTGAAGATGACCTCCCTTTCGCGGCCGCGCCCAGAAAACTGCAGAGTCAAGCAGAACAACAACTCTTGTCGAGTGGTGCTTGGTGGACCGCAGAAGCCACTTCAAGAAAAGCACGAATGCCTCACCTTCCAGGACGTTGATGTGTGCGTGAAATTTGGAGCGAACACTGAAGATGTCGGAAAAGTGCTCAAGCTTCAATTTGTCAGAATCATGGCCAAGTAGCGTCCCCCCGGCACATCCAGAAAGTATCCGTCTACTAAGTCAACCCCAACACAGGTACCACAGAGCGCGTCGTCAACGTCCTTCTTAAGATTTCGGACTGCGCATCGTGCATCCATAGCTGCATCGAAAGCTCTTGCTGCTTCACAGGTGGCACCAGGGCCAGCGTCGCTGAAAATCATGACATCATCGGTGGCCACCGCAGCAACAAGCTCAAACGATGTAGGTGTCACGCAATCACAAGCCAAGAGAGATGAAGTTGGTACGCCAGCATCTTGACAAACACTCAGCATCTCTTCTTGGGCTATGTAAGAAGACCAAGAAAATCCCATAGGCCAGACGCAGTGCAAAGGATATAGCAAACCTTCGCGCCAAGCATGTCCATCTTCCATGTGCTGCCGCTGATCCGCCACTGACATTCCAGCATTGACAAGTTCCACTGTGGAGATGGGCGGTTTGGCCATGTATCGACGAAGAGAGCTGGGAAGCTTCAACTGGTCAAACCAACACGTAGCATCGCGCTTGCTAAGGCGTAGTGGTCTTCCATCGCTGCACTCCAGAAAGGTCAACGCAGTTGGGGAAGCCAAGTGTCTCGGCTTTGGAGGTGCAGAAGCTGATTCTGAAACACGTCGGCCGTGCCATACCTCCCTCAGGCGTTCACCCCCAGGCTTCCCAACAGCGAAAGTGGTACCACCACCCTTGCAAAAAGTTGCTAAACTCAACTTACCACACCGCAGCTGCTTGACAACCAATTTTGCATATTCGTCTTTCGGGCCCTTAAGGAGAAAGGTTCAAAAACACGCAAAGAATCATCGCTGTTGTCAAGGATTCCTTCAGGTGTTGCCAAGCTGGCCCGCACATGGGCTGGCAAGTGGGGCAAAGGATCGCATAAGCCAGCCGCTTGCAAGTTGTCCACCCTGTCAGCAACCAAGTCTTGGAAAGAAGTTGTACCTGCAGTGAAACCTGGCACAAAATCTGGCACAAACCGCTCCCAGCCATCTTGCGCATGTCGCAGGCGTGTGAGTGTCCACACTGTGCGATCCACGATGTTTTTCAAAACTGCTTGTTGAGCGAACGTGTGCTTGCCAGTCGGCACTGTCTGCTTTATGCCGTGCAACCAAATCAGAATGCCAATGACCACGTTGATGAATTGGAGGAGCACGCTCCACCTGCCACTTGTCATGTCTACAGGCTTCAGCATGCTACCACCAAGCGGGGCCAAGGGAAAAACATCTCGTTGCCGAGTTCTGACCGGCGGCTGCACAGGCAAGGAATTGCAAAGAAATTCACCCAACACTCCAGTTCCAGCTTTGGCGGCAAGGGCGAGACGGTAGAACAACCAAACCTTGTCTGATGGAATGGTGGAATGGCCATCTGCCCTCCATGCCAGCCACAAAGCCCTTCTGCGTCGGGAAGAACAACGGCTGGCAGAAGAACGGCCCTGTTTTCGATCGGAAGCATTCTGACGCGTGGCATGAGCAGAGGCTCTGTGGAAGTCGCGTCTTTTCTTGGATGGTGACATGCAAACTCTTCCCCGATGAAAACTTCTTTGCTGGCGGAAACCAAAAAACTCCAGCGAGGAGATCCAACGAGAGAGGAGCTTGATCACTGCCCACCCATGCCGGACGGACCGACACAGACACCGCACGAAGCGACCCTGATTTCTGACTGGAGCCCATTTGGCCACATTTCTACCGTTCATTTAAACAATTGATATCAGTTGATACTGGAACTCATCACTTTTCGGTTTCTGCTGACGAACGCATCACCTTTCACTGAACGGTTCGTTCATGAATAATTGTCCATTAGGTATAACACCCCGACGCTTACATTCGATACTAAAGGCCCCCGACATTTAATTCTGTACTAAAACTCCCCGACGATTACATTCGGTACTAAAGCCCCCCGACAATTACGTTTTGTACTAAAACCTCCCGACAATTACTTTCTGTACTCAAACCTCCCGACAATTACTTTCTGTACTCAAACCTCCCGACAATTACTTGCTGTACTGAAACCTCTCGAAAATTACTTTCTGTACTAAAGCCTCCCGACAATTACATTCTGCACTAAGCCCTCCTGACAATTACATTCTGCACTAGGACCCCCCCAACGTGACCTCTTCCCACAGTGCCGCATAAAAAAAAGAACCCTTAGCATAAAAAAAGAAACCATTAGCATAAAAAAAGAAACCAGGAGCATAAAAGAAAGAACTGCAAGCATAACAGAAAAAACCATTAGCATAAAAAAAGCACTATAAGCATAAAAAAAGAAACCCATACCCCAAAAGCACACCAACCCCGCTGTGAGCATAAGAAAAAAACCATTAGCATAAAAAAAAACACCCAGCCCCATTACAAGGGGCCCAATTGAATCCACTTCAACCCCAGTCCGACGCGGACGGGCCCACGCGGTCGACCGCCTGCTTTGAGAGGCTTCACCGGCAGGGTGCCGAGCTCTTCAGGGGGCCAGGACTTGATCTTGAAATGGTTCTGGGCCTCCGAGGCGCAGGGCATCGATCCTGATCCGGAGCTGTATTCCGCCCAAAAAGAACGGGGGATGACTTATACTTTGTGTTGTTGTTTCTTTTATACTTTGTGGGGGGGAGAAACAACACAACATGTAGAGAACACTACAGATGGGTCCACCCTTGTGAAGGTGTCATGGTGTCACTGTATAAATATCCATCATCCCCCCGCAATAGTTCCTTCTACCGCCACTAAACATGGAGGCCCATGCAGTATAGGAGCAAGAGCTGAGGAAAGAACACATTTCGTTAAATGTTCAACAACATGCTGCATGCTCTATATCAATGATGCTCATGTGACTCATGTGGTTGTGGGTCAGTCACTTCACCCTCACAAACCAATCAGAAACCAAACAAAGGGTGGATATCCCTGTTAGCCCTATTCATTCATTTGGAATCCACTAGGATCCGATGACGGCAACTCGGCCTCTTGGAAAAACTTGAAGAGGTAGCCATCGGGCAGGTTTCGTCGATAGCTGTCCTGGCTGGACCGCATTGACCTCCAGATCTCATTCCAAACCCAGCTCTGCATTGCGCAGAACGCAGCTAGCAACCACCATGTGAACTCTCGAGTTGCTGAAGGTCCTTGCCCTCGGGATTGTCCACCGTCTGGAACTGTCTCTCTTCCGCAAACTCCAAGTCCTCATGCCTTTGGAGGAATGAAGACGTACTCGCAACTCATGCACAACACGACCGATATGCGGAGTGTTTTGCACCTTGAAAGGCCGAAAGCACAAACACGGGACAAATCTTCCACCGCAAGGCTCACATTTGGAAATTCACCCGACATTCCAAACCCATTGGCTGGGTAGGAAAAGAAGTTAGACTGAGTCGGTTGTTTCTGCACATTCAGTTGGCGACAGGATGGACATGCTGGCGGCTCTTACGCACTAGGCTTCACTAGCTGGCTATCGATTCAAACTGTCCACCTGCATCACACCCTCCACACCCCATCACTAGACTCACTAGACCAAAGAAAAAGGGACTCCTTCGTCCTTGAACAACTGAGGATCCAACAAATCGAATAGACATTGATTGCTGTGCCCAAGAAACCACTTAATTAGACAGGTATTGTACGCCTATATATCCCTATGTCGTGTTTTCGGAAGATACCAGCACTTCAGCACTTCCATCAAATCCTTTCGGTTTGATGCTTTCCTCCCATCCACCGTGGAAGGCTTCATCCCCATGGAACGACTCAACGACCCCCATGAAACGGTGTCGTCTTCTCTTCCCACCCGTCAGTTCGCCCGTGTTTCACGGTGGCGGGTCCGGTGGGTCCGCCGCGGTGCAGGGCACGGATGGCACTCTGCAGGGTGGCCGTGTCGAGCTGACTGCCCACGAGCACGCCTTCAGCCTTGGAGGAGCCTCCGCCGAGGGAAGTCGCTAAGGTGAACCCTAGACTTCCGTTCGACCATTCAAAAAAATGGTTGACCTGGTTTTTGTAGTGTAAAATCCTTAGTTGATTCGGGATGACCCGCCTATTAAATCTATGGTTGTTGGAAGCCTAGGGTGAAAGCTCAGTCGCCAAGTCGGTGACTGGCCGGTCCCAAAATTGGCACCTTTTGCGGAAGACCGGGAGGCCCGTTTTGGTTCTTTCAGGTCATTTCATGTTCCGTTCACTTCGTGTTTTTCCCTTGGGGAACACAATAAAACAGGTACAGTATACCTTCTTCCAGAGAGGACTTTGTATCTAATGCGCTGGTGGTCTCCCAGGTCGATGCCTCGGTATGTCGGGCCGTGGCACGGCCCGGTCGTGGTCCATGGTGGATCAGCCATGACGATGACTATAGATTGGACAAAGGAACACCACTTGGGAACTCTTCTTTTTCAGGGTCTTGGAAGAGCAGTCAAAATAAAAAACAACACACTATAATAGGCATGGAGTATACCAAACTCCTGCAATCTGGCGGTTGATACTGAGTCTCCGGACGACTGGGTGTGGCTGCCCAGTAGCCTCAGGGATACATCTGAGCTTGGAAGCTAGGTAACGAAGGTGGTGCAATTCCTGCTAAAGCACCAAAATCTATCATCAACATTATTTTTCATACTATAGTAGTGGACTCTGCAACTAAAGGGGATTTTGAAGGTTTGGGAGGGTTTCCCTATTCTATAATACAATCCCATTTAGTGGAACATGGGCTCCCACGTGGACTATTGATGACTATTAGGCTTGTGCTTTTCGATGCGTACCTGCGGGGACAAGCCCTGCAAGCGGATTTGCTGATCCATCACTCTGAACCAACATCCGAGATTGGATGCCGAAAAACTTCCACCCCTAATGAATCATTGGACCCCCTGCGAACTGCAGGCTCGAATGACCCTGCGAACTTCGCAGGGGTTTGGATATCAAAAACCTTGACCTTCGAATTCACTGGCTGAGCGTTCTTGCTTCTGAGGGGCCAATCTTTTTGAGGTGCCAAAACCACCGGCGTTTGACCTCAAGACCGGCCGGCCTGGTCTTTTGCACGCTTCGTTCGGCCGAATCTATCGCCAAAGGGCCCAATGCCACACGAGCGTCCTTGACTTTGGCCCCGTCCATCTGAAGGCGGAAACCTGGCACTGGAGCAGTGCTCGCGAGGTTCATCGTGGGACACAAAGCAATGGCTTTAAATGTGATAGGCATGACATGATCTTCTCCATTGGGCACAAGAAGGCTTAGCTCCCAGGTTAGTTGGACTTAGTGACTTAGTCGGACTTCATTCTGAGACGCGTTCGTCACAATGTGTATATGTTGGTCGTGTATTTCGAAGCAGTTGGCGGGAGGTGCGCTTCTGGCCATCAAAATGATTCCACATCCCTCTGAGTACTATGTAAAAAAAGGAAAATGGGCATCTCTAGACAAAGCTTGATCAACAGTTTGTAGAAAAGTAGAATTTATGTATCCACCTTCTCACATCCTGCCTGCACCCGCAAAGCAATGGGATAGCCACTTGCGCTGGCCCACGCGATAGTACCTGGCTGCACCACCAAGTTGCAAAGAACCCAGAGAGCTTTGTGTATCAAAGTAGGGAGACCTCCCAGGCAACCACCCCCTGGAAGAGTACTCCCACAGTCCGGTCCGGACGACCATGGACCCCACCCTACGGTTCGGGTGGGTCGAGAGCGGAGGTCGAAACCGGTCGAAAACGGTCCATTCTCACCTTCCTTTGGTCGCCTGCGTTTCAACATGTTGAGCCTTTCGCTCGTCGGCCGCATGATCTTTTGTGGTGCGATGCGCGAGCCGCCGAGGTAAGCGCCGGAAAGAGAGACCCCGGGGGACACCCTGGGTCTGAACTCTGGAAGCTTGTGAGGTGGCCATAGATCATGCTAGTCTTCAGGAGTACATGAAGGAAATGGGTAGATCTACGGAATTTCAACCACAATGTTCTTCTCAGATTTGCTGATATCCGCGTTCAAAACATATCAAAACATCAGTTCGGACAAGACTGGGTGTGTTATCGTTATGGTGTGTTCAAACTACAAACAACCAATCAATGTTTTGGTGTGACTTGGTGACTCTTGGAAACCTTAGTGTGATTCTTGAGGACCCTGCAGAAACATCTCCAGCAACCAAAAACAGTAGAGACGTGGAGCTCCGCACCAAACGAGAAGGGGACGTTCCGATCTTCTCAGATGTAATCCATCCATGTCGAACGTCGGACATCCGAGCAGCTGCCAGTTCTGCATCCGAGCAGCTTGAAGAAGGCTCCCTCCACGTTGGGAATGTGGAGCTTCGTGAGCAGCGCATTGAAGGGAACAGCCTGAGGCCAGAGTTTTCGGGAGGGTGACGAAGTGGTGCAGCTTTCGCAGTGCGGATGAAGGGCAAAGGATCAATTACACTCCCTAGAGATAATCATGGAAGTGGAAAATCCGCCTGTTTGTAGAGGAAACTTGTCATCCAAGTGGCCATTGTCAGTCCACTTCCATGATACTTTCCATTATTATTTCAGTGAGTGTAGAACCCAAACAAGCGGAGAATGTGTTCTTAGAAGGAAACAGACTTGCAGTGGCAAGCCTCGCCGTATCGAGACTTAATAACCCAACTGGGTTGCGTTACCCTAATACTGGAGGGTTGCCACACCTACGTGCTGAGACCATGTCCAGACCACCTTGCAAGGGACAAAATCCAGTGTCCGAGGTCTGGCACTCCAATACAGTACATCCAACATCATCCAACCCCATCATCCACCCCATCTTCCCAGATCTGGAACCCAGCTACCCCATCTCCGCCCATCTATCCACCCTACTTGTGGCGCCCTCCAGAGCTGTTCGACTGAGTTGCTCCAGGTTTCAAGTCCATCAATGCCAAGCGCTTCTCATCCCGAGCGTTGCTGGTGACGAAGGAGATTTCCGCATCAGCTGGCGCGACGCCGCACGCGGAAAAAACACGCGGAAAAGAAAAGAAAGCGGTCTCGCCACAGGTAGACTGCTTTCAGCGCGGGGGGTTAGCACTTTTCCGTGTGAGCTGAGCTGGATGAGTGTGTCAAGCGGTTTGTCCATGAGATAGTGCACTCAAAATCCGCACCTTCCTGTCGCATCGTCGTCAGGGTTTGCTGGAGTCCATTTTCCACTCAGATGGGTCTGTTGGGTATTATGGTATCAACCAAACAGATCCGTCCAACGGACAGTTTTTTCTATGCAGCGGCCACTCCGAAGAGGTACAAGGCGACTCTCAAACCTAAGAGGTACATGGCAGCGCAAACCTAAGAGGTACATGGGTCTTCGTTTGGGGCAAGTAAAAACACCGTCCTGTCCGCTGCGTCCATAGTGGATGCTGCGTCCATAGTATGCTGCGTCCATTTGGAGACTCCACCAGACCGTGGGTTGAGAGTAGATGGCGCAATCCCCGCAAAAGTGGTTTATATGATGGATCCCCATCTGTCTAAGACATCTTGGGGCTTGTGCCATCTTACTCAGAAACCACTGTAGCATACTGTAGCCCTTTCCCTATCAAAATATCACGACATATATAGAGAAGTCACCTGCAAACGAAAGACCAGCAAAGACCTATACCTACAACAACTGTGTCCGCATGATCCTTCTGAAGGCCTAACCACTTGTTGAATCACCTACTGCCACTGATGACTCCGCTCAAACATATTTCAGGAGGCCCTGATGCGATGAATTCTTGATCCGGACAAGTGGTCAAGTGGTTTGCAGATTCTGCTGGAAATCCACCAAACAGTCTGGAGATCAGCACCAAAATAAGCAAGAAGCAACTGTTCCTGTGGTGTTGCATGAAGTCCTGCCTCCCCAAATCTATGGAAAGACATGAAAAAGCCCTCTGCCAGCTACCGTGTACTGCTCCTATCATCGTCCCACATCTCTCCTCGCCTGCCAACAAGCAAGGGAAGAGGTCCGACGGGAAGCCACGCCTGGTCTGGGCATCAACCCAAACCCTTTCAACCGCAGCCTGCTGGGTATCAATTCTCAAACTACGTAGCACAAACACAAAAGCCGGGCACAAATATCGACCCGCCGGCTGGTGCTGGAAACACCAAAAGCATCCCAAAAGCCATATTTCAAGGTCTGACAAGATCCTTGACTGTATAGATCCAATGTGATAGATCAGTGTGCGCTAAGTTTCTTCAAGAGGCCCATTCACCATGGGCCGCAAGAAACCAAAGGCCACTCTCCACCGGACGGAAGCAAGTCCTTCACACCATCGTTTCGTTTGGAGTGAACAAGGCTTTGACCGAATGCATGGACTAGGCAGTCAAATCCAGCATCGCTTTTACACAAACACGCAAAGCACCCACAGCGAGCTGCATCAAACTATTAATGGACATGTTGTGACATGTTCTTCCCAAGCACACTGTAGTGAATTCCTCTGTTAGGGGTCTGCTCTGACAAGTCACAAGTTACGAGTAGTTCCATAGGCCTTCAAAGACCATCTTTTTCCTCGTGAAAGTCTCTGCCGTGCGACCCTGTCTGCCCTGCGACCCTCACGACCCTGGCGACCGAGAGGGCACTGCTCAACCCCCCAAGTCCCTGCCCAGTTTAAATGACCTTCACTTTGTTTGGAAGGCCCACCGGACCGAAGACTGCCCAGGCTGCCCCGACTGGATGGTGATCAACAGGTTGCCGGCCCAACCTGAGTCCCGCAGCGCGGTGCTTGGGGCCAGGTGTGACATGAGTGACTTTGGGTTGTGACGCATGCTCGTCATTTGCAATCCAAAGCCCCAAGAGATCCTTCTAAGATCCTACAAGATCCTACAATTGTTTCAGGTGTGATCCTCTGTGCCAGGCCCTGGCCGCCAGGAGCCAGGCCCCTGCCTCCAGGCCCCTGCCTCCAGGCCCCTGCCTCCAGGCCCCTGCCTGCTTCTGATCGAATGTGATGCTGGGCGACGTTCTTCAATCCATCGGCCAGGGCCTTAAAACCGCTCTTCGGCGCGTGGTGACCGCGGGCACCACACAAATGGCTAGATGAGTCGTGGGAGGTCCTCCAAACGGTCAGGGATGATCAACTACCATGCTGGGAAGTGGACATCTCAGAATTGGATTAAGGGAACATCCACAGGAAACCATTCTTTTTTGGTGATGACTAAGGGGGGGTACTGTAGATGTTCCCTGAACCAAATCCATTTTGGGGGTCAAACTCGACCTTCAGAATGGCGGTGATATCACCAGACTGCTGTGACCTCCTTTGGAGACTCTGTGTGTGACATCTTGAGGGACGTGTCGGATGGCTCCCGCTTGATCTCAAGTGAGGACTTGGTCACGAACCGAAGGTGAGTCCGACTGTGAAGGACTCCGGGACTGTGAAGGACTCGGTCAAAGGAACTGCAATTGGGCCGTTTTTGAACAAAGAAGACCATCGAAACCGATGAGTGTGTGTCATCGAGTATCCGGTAATAGTCATGGACAAAGCGAGAAATCTGCAAACAGTCATATTTTGTTGATGAGTCACCCAGAATTATCAACGATCTCTCTACCTGATCTTCCCCCATGACCTTTTCAAAGGGGCCGGCCTATGCCGGCCCCTCCAGCAGGCCACCGTTGAACTCCCAAACACTTGATCCGGTGAAACACCATCGCTTCTGGTAGGGCCATCCATACCCACACCACCCCGCACCTTCCCCCCCCCGAAAAAGACCACTTGCCCTGGCCCACGGGGTCCCGGAAAAAAAAAGTTCAAAAACAACCGCCAAGTGCTGGATCGTCACCTTGGGCCACTGAAGCTGTGTATGAACTTCTTGGTATTGCTCCAACGCCTCCACCAAGTGCTGGATCGTCAACGCGCCTCCGAAGGTCAGACCTCAGAACGCCACCGACCCGTTCGGTTCGACACTGCCGGTGCCACACACGGAGCGCCTCTACCCTCCGCGCGCACGGAGGTTCGTCCTTCCTTCCGCGTTCGACAGTTTTTTTTAAACTAGCCAGGCGGTTGGGGGGGGGGGTCAAGTCGGATGGTCATCGGCATGAAGGCTAGCTGCAAAAGGGTTCAAGAACTCACGTGGTCTGGTCATTCCGGTTGGACGGCTCCCTGTTTTCATGGTGATAGAATATGGATACCCCCTGGCACGACCCACTTTGGGACATCACCGCAGCCTTTGGTACAAGGGCTCCCAGCTTGCACCCTGAAAAATGGACACCGAAATGACTCCAACAGCGGCGCGGAGGTACCGAGGTACCTGTGCCAGTCTTCTCCAAGACGTTGAGCTCAGTGACCTCAACAAAAATCAGAAAAGCTCATCAGCCCATCGCAGAAAAGACATCGAGACCCAAGATAGGTCGACTGGTGGAGCTTGGAACATGTCCGAACCTCGAGGATCACGAGCTACAGCGGCGTTAGCTATTGAGACGTGGCCGGTTCAGCATGCTTTGTCAAGGAAAGAAATGGAAAGGATCAAACGTTACCGAAACGACTCGAAAACTATGAGAATCCATTCTTTGTCAAAAAGATGCTGGTGTGGGAGAACCAGACTCGCTGTGTTTCTTTGATATCCTGGAGCGTTTGCGTGGCTAAAGGGGCAGAATAGTTAAGCTAATCCGATCTGGCATTCATGCGAGCCATGCACATACGAAGAGCAAATCCATTTTAGAAAGCTTTATGTTTGATTCCTCTGCGGGAAGTATATATAGATGTACCTGTACACCTATACATGTCAAAGGGTGCCAAAAAAACATTGCTCAAGAGAATTATCATGAAACACCCCCACTCTAGAAACATCCTCCCATGGAAACTCTAGAGGGCCACAAACAACAAAGACTCCCCTCTGGAAGTCAAAACACCAATATATTTAATAGCCCGCATCCCGAAACAACCATCGTTTTACGAAGGGTTTTATGGGTTTTACACTTACAAAAGCAGATCGACCATTTTAAACATGGTCTTTGACTTCCAGGCAACCTGTATGACATCGTATGACAGCCCATTGAGGTCCAAACTGACAAAGCACCGGTGATCTCCAGTGTAGCAGACTGTAGCCACTTTTTGCGCTCTGACTCGTTTGCCTCTCCCAAGTTCAGGGAAGAAGTTGCCCTTGTTCAACAAACATGCAGGGACAGCCTGGAATTGAGGGTATCCAGAATGGATTGGTATTTTCCAATGTGTCCAATCCCCGCAGCACCGTGGAATATGTATGAGCAAACTGGCTCAGTTTAGCTGAACGATCCAAAAATAACTGTTTTGCTCGGCCGTTTTGGTCCATCGAACCTACGGCGGTCAGCCCCTGCGGTACGTACCCACCCCACATGTCGCTGTGAACGCGCAGTCGATGCATTCGATGCAGTCCGATGCATTCGATGCGGCTGAGAGACATTCCTCAGGGAAATCACATCATTGGCTCGACCGTTGGCCACCTGATCATGCGCTCGCGCCGCCCACAACGCAAAGCTCAATCTCGGGCAGTTTCGGAGCTACGTAAACCCTTGGATGCTGACCGGCTCAAAAGCTTATATTATATCTCAAGCTTCTTCAAGGTGACAAATGCTCTGTACGTCAGATCACATACCAGCAGCTTCAAACAGGTGTAGTCAACTCAAGCCCACATAAGCCCACATAATGTAGACTCTTGATTAAGAAAACCCTCCGTTTGAACTTAAAAACCTCAAGAGTCTACATTAAGCCTCCCCTGCGCAAAAGAAATCAACCATTTTGGCTCATACAAATGCATGATGCAACCAACTCAGTTGTACATGACGCAAACATGACGCGTTTGGGGGGTATCAGCGCCCCAGCCAAACGCCGCAGCACCTCATAGGCTGCCTGGCGAATGCCCTTCGCTGTGTCGCCCAAGATGTACCTCGTGCAGTTCACCACCACTTAGAGAGGAAAAAACATGGTCTTCCTTTATCTTCCTTTCGGGGTCATGTTCCACTTCGATCATTCCAGTGACCCCTATAAGTACAGTAAAAACAACAAACAAACACCATTTCCAAGGGTACTGCCACCAGTCAGAACCCGACGCACAAACAAAGTATGAAGTTTCCAAGTCAAGGGCCCATAGGCGCCCTAGGCATGTCTGTACTGGCTTCACACCCCTAGGGCTCCAAGTACCTCCTCATAAGGTATGACTGGACCCTTCAAACCCTCCCCAAACACCTTCTTAGAAGGTATTTGGAGCCCTAGGGCACTGTTTCACACTGTTTCACACTGTTTCACACCACCCAAACAATGAGCCAATCCCTGCACGCGTGCCTTCCAAGAGATTCCATTTGGATCGAACATGGTTGATGCTGCATGAGAAAATCTAAGAACACAAAATACGTGCAAACTGAGTATCATATCACTGGATATCACTGGTCTCCAATTTTTTTCCATTAGCGCAGCTTCAAGTATGAATTTCAGGAATACCGGTGGTTTTGATTTGCTTCACAGATGTTTTGTGTTCCGTCATGTTCAGTCTCTCATGCACTGAAGACTTGTTCATCCGTGGGTGTTCACCACTTCAATTCCTTCAGTTTCTCTTCTATCGTCAAGGACTCAATCCACGCGTCAACGCTCCCGATTGCACGCTGGATATCCAGGGTGCATGGCGCGGGGCTTGGACTTCTTGATTTCCAGGGCTTCCTGCGCGTGGTGTGAAGCCCTGGACTCGACTTGGTGAATTGAAGGGGGAGGAACCTCGACTTGGTGATGTGGAGAGTCTTAGTCCTACGGTGGGTCATACGAAACCACGACTGAGGTCAAAGACCAAGAATTTACTAGACCTTTGGACTTGTAGTAGGGCATGAATGAATGGAAATGTTGAAGCTGACACTTCCCAACGATTGATCAAGGTCGATCGTCTGTCCTCCAAGGACATGGGAGCATACCAGGCAAAGCCTTCTTTGAAGAAGGAGACCTGAGATATGCTGTGTCATCAATCGACAGCAATCCACTGTGCAGTCACCAGTGCCATGGTTCACAGGAGGAGACTAGTTCTGAGTCCACATATGGAGCATGAAACCAAAAATGATACGAACTATACCTTCAACTCACAGGTGACAGCTCTGGGGAAATGACTTCCAGATTTCCAGAACGACTCTTCCAGTGGTTTCCCATTCCAGGGAGTATAAGTTGTGAGAGGGACAAAAACAAACAAGAGGAGAGGCCTGAGAGGCATCCTGGATCGCCATCAGCCAAGCATCTGATTGGCGTGGCACATCCATCTTGGCATGCTCCGGCCCTCAGGTGCGGTTCCACCGAGACAACTGGGTTGTAAGGGGAGAAGGGTGGACCTCCCTGAGACAAGGTGCGATGGTTCTGCAAAGTGATCAGCTAATCTTTGCGTGCCAACTCCCATCTTTGGCCTCATGACAGGTGTCTTATGGCGTCTTGGATCGTATTTCCTTGCGGAGCTGTGTTGAGTTAAGGTCCCACTCAGCGTCACGGCATGGCCCGGCACGGGCACTACCCTTGTTGGCGTCCTAAGGTCTCTTCTTCAGCCAGTGCACCGCACTTGTTTCAAAGCCAAGGTTTGAATGATGTTGAATTCATCAAGTATCACCAACTGGTAGAATTTGCCATGACTGTTGACCGGGAAAGTGCCATCGTTCAATCCTGTGTCACCTGAACGGATCTTGGCCTAGTTTGACCCAGATCCACCTACGCCGCAAACAACATGTTGCTACTTGCCCAGGGCGTGCAGCATGCAGGGACATCAGCTTTGAGCCAGGTGTTCAACAACCAAAGGTCTGGTGAGTCTGTGTGACCCCCAAAACTGACTCTAAATTACAGGTCCCATATCACGATGTCATGTATTGGAACTGATTCCATCTATTTGGGGACTACCGGGACTATACTTCATTAGTGACCCTGCCTTGTGGTTTGTTGTTTCTTGGCCACAAAGACGACAGGGTTCTCAGCCAGCCAGCATCTTGCAAGACTCAGGAGTGCATGAAAGTACCCTTAGTCGCCTATCTCTTTTTTTGGTCTGCCCAGTCCAAAACTCGACCAACCGAAGACCCGCAAAAAAAACAATATTATCCCTCACACAATGCGTCCAACCATCTTCATCTTCCAGTTAGACCAACCCAATTCACCCAATCCTCACCTAATATGTTTCACCTCACCATCTTCGCCTGAAACAAGAACAAGTCTCTACCTGACCATGCCTCCACACCTGGTTGGTTGCCCTAGCTTCATTGACCCTCCCGTCCATTGACACTCCCTACAAATCCCATCGGATCCCGCCCCGCGCATGGCAGCTTTCCACCCAGCGGCCACTGAGCTTGTCGCACAAATCGGCGTCGTGCGCGCCGCACTTTTCCGCCAGCTGCTGCGCTTCAGGTGAGGCATCGGAGCAGAACGACTCGGACGCCTGCCACCGCGTCGGCGTGGGCGGCAGGGCCATCGCAGGCCAGGTGAGCAAGCTTGGTGCCCGAAGGTGCTGGGTGTTTTAGTCAAAGTCTGGCAGGCTTTAGTCAATCTGAACCCATTCTGTGGCTTTGGGATGCTTTTTGGAAGCTTCTATGGTCATTGTAAAGAGGGCAAACAATAGCGACTGACGTCGTCACTATAGAGGTGACGTAGTTCAATCGTTCGGTTCTCACCCTGGCATCACCGGCTGATGAACTCACCAGCCGGTGGCAAGGCCAGGGTGGCTGGAATCCGACCCGTCAGTCTCCTCTGGAACAAGGTGTGGGGGAAACGCCTCGTGCTATCCCTAGGGCTCCAGTCGTACCTTCTATTGAAGGTGGGACTGGGGGCCCGGGGGCCAGGAGGGTCCAGTCATACCGAACCTGAGGAGGTACGACCGGAGCCCTAGGGTTCATCAAGTTGCAATTCATAGAGAACATCCTGGAACTTCCTGCAGTATCTGCAGTTCTCTTTTGGTTCGTGCAGCATTGTGCCATCGCCGGCGTTCCACGGACCTCCACCTTCCCATACATCAAGCACAACATAGGTCAGAACCAGTATGGACGGGACCAACAGATATCGAAAAGGCTCTTGAGAGGGCCACAGAAATCTATATACAGTCACAGTCTCAGTCTCACTCTCCACAGTCTGCGACAAAAAACATTCCAAGTGGGACCCGACCTCACAACCATAGACATGCCCCAAGCCCTTTCCCACCGACGTCACTGACAACATAGAACTTGACATATCTTAATTTCCCACCACATTCATAACATCACCACATAGTTCACAACCAATACGGCCAGTACCAACACAAATAGAGGACGACGCCTGAAATCAGTGATATACCTGATGAAAGTGTATACTGTCCAAGGGCTCCAACAAGAGGGCTGGAAAGAAGGGCCGAGTACATGGCTGTTTGATGCGTTGCACTGCAGTACATCCGCGACCCAGGGGTCGCAGTTGTTCCCTTTACTGATTCCCCAAACTCACAGATTCCTCCAGATTCAGCTATGATAAATGAGTAGATCAGTAGATCCCATCTGCCAGGAGCGTCACCTTTATCAGTGACCGAAGGACCCAGAGGTAACCCGCGGCCGGCGGCGGACCCGCGGCCACCTGGCCTGGACGAGGTTTCGGTAGCCGGTACAGCGGCAAATGTTCCCGTCATAGTTCTTCATGGATTCTTCAGCTGTGGGCTTTCCACCAGATTTCAAGAGCGCATAGGTATTCATCACCTCACGAAGTAGTCAAAAAAACAGAGATGCCCGGAAGACGATTGAGTGGAGGACCATGGATAAACCTTTGGCTGAGGGATCCAGAATACGATGTACTGGCTTTACTGCACGTACTGGAGAAGAAAGAACTGACGATTCAGAAATCAACTCCCCTGGTGACTAAAAAGAGAGACGGTTTATGAATAGAGACGATGTTGATCAAGGTTCAAATCAAAGGGCCATCTTCCCAGTCATTGTGGGTCACTGAACATGCCAACAAACTCCTCTTTGCGCCTCTTTTGGCCGAACAAAGACATGTTTGGACATCTTTGGTTTACTAATTATATAGTAATTATCGATATATAATTATAGAATAGCAGTAAGACTTGCAATAAATCAAAAACCCTGCTTCGACCTGCTCCGTGTCTTTCAGTCTTGTTCTCTCCAGTCCAATGAGTCGTTAGGCCCACACACACACACACACACCACAGTGACGCTCTGCGCAAAGTGGATTGGACGCAAGTGACACACAAATCTGGAGCCGTGTGTTTTTCTGTGGTGTGAGGAGGACAGATCTCCGCTCCGGACTGTAGAGCAGCGTTTTTGACTCATAGACTCATCTTTCTGAGCTTGTTTTGTGGGCCAATCAAAAGGCCGTGCCGGGTGGGTTGTGCAGTGCTGCCAGGGTACCATGCCAGGAGTGCAAAAACCACACTGCATGCCATGGTTCTCAGCCTCAAAAACAGAAAAACGCAAGTTGTGAGCGGATTGGATGTTCCGTCAACCTGGTTGCATCGGCAACGAAGATCGACCCCAAACATGACCTTGTTCCACCTTCGAATGTGATTTATGATCCTAACACCTGTGAACCACTCACAGGGGCTAAAAGTGGAGTCAAAGGACACTTCTCACATCTTTTACAGAAGATCTCAGCTGCTCACTACCACTCCTGCGAGTTTGATTTCAAGACTCTGCAATCATATCCTCCGCACTCTTCCCACCCGCAAGTCACCATGGAAGGTGCCAACAAGTTCATAAGAAGCATCCAAATGCGAATCATGTCCAACCAAATCATGTGATCCCTGTAATTACCTCTCAGCATCTCTCAGCAGTTCTGCTTTTGCCACAGAACACATCATGTCCCATAAGGATAGGTTGGGAACCAGCAGTCTTCCAAATCTATGTTTCTTCTAATCTCCAGTTAGCTCCCACCCCCCCTTGACTACCCCACATCTTTCAGATTCCAACATTCCAAATCGTTCTTGTCCAAAAAATCTTCGTCGTCTCGACCTCGTGATCACCGAGCACCTTCCCGTCACCGAGCAGCGATGCGCTTCTGCACCTGATGCAAACATCTTCGCTCTGAGCCGACGCCCTCGACCGTCGTCACCGAGAGCCCATGGCAGGCCACCAGCGGCTTTAAACCTCGAGGCGACGCCGGAAGCGGTGCGCGGGGCCGGTTGGTCTTTTTCCCGTGTGGGGAGGGGGATGTCCTGGGGAAGGTGGAGAAGGTGCCAGGGTGGTTGGGTCAGGTGATGGTTGAGAAGAATTAGACATGGAGGAGAATAGGGCTTTGAAAGGGAGGTGAGATGTGTATGTAACAAGCTTTACGCAGGTCCGCATCTCAAGAGGTAGCCAAACCGCTAGCTTTTTAACAACACAGGTGGAATTGGGGCGTTTGCTTACCATCGAGACAAATGCAAGGGGCCAGCAAAACGCCAAAACAGGGGAGAACCCGACGAGACCAAACGAGCCGCCAGACTATGGAAAAGACTGCCATGGCACAGGAGCGCCATGCTAAATTTAAAGGGAGATCTAAAAGCAAGAGACTAGGAGCAAGGACGCTACTAGGGGCTCCTGGCCTTACTCTAGGAACAAGAAGCTACTAGGTGCAACCCTTGTGTTGCAGTCAATGACCTGCCCCTACCATCTCTGAAGACTCCCCAGCCAGGAGCACAGTAAAGCATCCACCCCCCAAAAAAAAGCCATGGACACCCACGTGTTTGTCCACCAAAACCGCTTACGCATGTCGCTTCTGGTCCCAGCATCAGCTGTTCACGGAGCGATACACCCAGCGCTTGTTGGCCAGGTCGTACTCCTGAATGGCCACCTTAGCGACACCGTTCGGGCCTCCAGGCGGACGTGTTTCGTACCCAATATGGCAATGATAGTTTTTCGGCACGTCAACTCGTAGAGTCGTAGAGGTCACGAGTTGAAGACTCATATGCCACCCTTGTTGATGAGTCTCTGTTGTGCGTTGTCTGATGCCCCGGTCCTTGGTTGGGCCAGGCCAGGTTTTCAGCTGAAGCTTCCAGCTTCCTGCACCCAGCGTCACTCGTTGCGGTGGCGGAACATCCTCGCGGAACGTCGGGAGCCCTGAGTTCAACGGCTGCTATGTGGCACACACCTGCAGCTCCAGGGGAGGAGCGCTACTCCATGAATTCTTGCACCGCTCCTTGAGGCTCCCACAACACAAGCTCCACAGCCGCCCTGCAGGCAACTCCTGCACGTGCGGCTCACGTAGAGAGCGCCGCTGGGCTCGAGCCCTGCTGTGCCCAAACAGATCCTGTTGAAGTGCTTGTGAAGGGGTCAAGCATCATCAAGATGGGGTGTTGTCTCTCTGGGTCAAGATCCCACCAGAATGTGAGGTGGGTGAAACACACAGAACCGAGCCTAACAAATTGGACACCCATCAACATCAACCCGTCGATCCAGCTGTCTCCACGAGGCAAGCTGCAGTAGCTACAACATGTTAGCGAGGGCTTTGTGTATGAGTGATGAGGTTCTTTCATTGACATCAGCAAGTGCCACAGGTTCAGAGATCAGACCTACCTGGAGTCTCCATCTAGCTGAAACAAACAAGTTCACCATCGGAGATTCCCATCTTACTCGCACCAACATGAAGGCAACGTGTCCAAAGTTAGATCCTCAAGAGGCATCTCAAGCATCCTAATGTCCACCTTCCTTGAAGATGACACCCTGCCAATGAAACAGCAGGAACCCTTTAAGGTCCTTTAGGGATCTCAGGAGTCCATTTAGTGTTCTTAAGACATAACATAACAATACAATACAATACATATGTAACATAACATAACATAACATATGTTGTAAACTGAACAATAAACTGAACAATCTTTAACTTCGGGGTCCATTTAAGTTTGAACCATGAACAAGCATCACCCCCACATCGCCAGCGAATCGCCCAGCGCATCACCCTCCTCTTGGTTCCAGTCAAGCCCTGCAGCGGCGACGTGTCGGCGAATGTAACAAGAAGCGAACGGGGCTCCTCCTGATTTGTTCCTTGGGGAAAACAAACAACAACATCACATTGATCTGAAAACTTACCAACCCTCACCCTCCAACAGGTCCTTCCTTTTTGGCCCATGGCTTTTCGAGACTCAACAGTGGCAGGGTATTGGCTTTGTGGGTGCAGTGCGTACAGTACATCGCAGCTGTGTCATGGCACGACTCACACGACTTGCTCCAGGCTCTTTGTGTCGGTGGGTGACTCGCTATCACCGTACATGGACTGGTCGGGTGAACACATGGTGGGCGGGTTGAACGACCCATGTAGACTGAACGTCTCTTTTTGATTCGCCGAACAAATCGCTCATGTGATCTCGATATCGGGTCTACATCAAGTGCAGGGGTCAGTGGTTCGAACAAAAAGTACTTCTTAGCTAACGCTTCAAAGATCAGTTCATCGCAACATCATGAACTGTTTTGATTGAAAATGAGGCTGAGCTTTGGTGTGGGATTCAAGTTGGGATTCCACTTAAAATCACCAAGTCACAAAACAAATCGCTACGTAACTGTTTGGCCAACTTTGCAGCAACAAGACTTTTACAGTAAGCACCTTCCAACAAAAACCCACTGCAAATCCCATAATGTCCACATTGTGTCCACCCAACGGATTCTATATATTCCAGCCAACACGTTCTTTTCCGGTTACCTCACCTACCTCCTCCGCTGCCCACGGCTGAGTTTTCAGCCTTGGAGTCGCGCAGGAACTCGATGAGCATCTGTCGGGGATCGGGTTCATGGACCTTCACCAGCTCGCCGTTCAAGAAGAACTGCAGCGGGTCCTGTTTTTTTCCCAAACGAGTAAATGGTTCCAACGGAGTAAAGCTGCAACATGCTGCAACTGGTTCATGTTTGGCAATTCCTATATGAGCACAACAATTGACATCAGTTTGAGAAGCAGTGATTGAGAAGCCCTGGATCTGTATTCTTCATTCGAGTCACCACCGGTCGAGCCCTTTCCCAACTGGCTCGCCAGTTCCGGCCGACGGACCCTCGGTCCGGCCGGTCCGCTCCGGACCCGGACCCTCGGTGCGGTGCGAACGGGGTCGTGTTTCGGTGCGGGCCACTGGTGGAAGGTCACAAATGAATCAACCAGAATAAGGACGTGATATAGGAGACACCAATCCAACCAAACAGATTTTCCTGAGTATATATATTATAAATATGATTCTGATTCTGAAGACTGACGGACGACTCCGAAAGGAAGTCGACATCCATGTCGAAGGAGGTCAAAGTTCACATGCTTTGGAGGGAGGATGCTTGGGATGCTTGCATCCCTAAAATTGCTCTACACTCCCTGGAGTCATCAGGGAAGTGGATGGCCTGTGGCCCGTTGGATGACCATGTTTTCTACAAAGCATTGGTGGTCCACTTCGATGACTTCAAGGAGTGCACGAAGAGTGGACCGGGACCCCCAAACCCAACTCCAGTGAGGCGGGCGAATGGAGGTGCGATCCAAAGAACTTCAGAGTAAAACTGTCACAGTAAAAAGGACCAGGTTGATCCAAGTTGTATATGTAAGAGGAACATGATCAACCTTTTGGGTTGACCACTCTCTTTGACCTGTAGTTAGTGATTGAACTTGGGCACGACTACATCCGCAAATTCACGTGATTCCTAAAGCTAGCTGCGGAAAAGACATGCTTTGGCATGAGGAAGTCCTCCCTCCAAAGAGGAAGTCCTCTCACCCTCCAGAGGGATGTCCCCGGAATCAAGGCAAGTCGTGTTTTCCTCCTAAACCACGAGGTGAGGGAAAACCACACATCTAAGCCCCAACAAAATCCAGGGGCTCTCAGAAAATACCAACATCCACCCACCCAAAGCCGTGGATGAGGAATTTGGAACCACCAGGCCCGAATGAAAAAGGGTCCTTTCGCTCCGGGGGCGCGAACGACATTGGTAGCACACCAAAATTAAAAAACGCAGGGTGCCCAACTCAGCCGCGCCAAGGACGCTTGAGCCAAAATTGCTGGGACTGGAAAAAGCATCTTCTAAAGCTTCGAAGAAGCATCATAAGCAGGATCATCCTCATCCTCATCATCCACCTCCTCTTCATCATTAATTATTATGTTCTTTGTTCCTTTGGTTTCTTTTCCTTCTTCTTTTACAAAATCTTCTTCTTCTTCTTCTTCTTCGTCTTCTTCTTCTTCTTCTGCGTATTCATTTGCGACATGTGTAAGAAAGACTCATTGGCAAAGGGGTGTGTGTGCATATATAGAGATATTTATGGCACACAGGCGCCAATCGGGTATATTATATGGTCGAAATAAGAAGAAAACGGAAACAACCATAGCTCCTCTTCATGGATCCCCCAGAAACCTCACTTGACTAGGGTTAAAACCTGTGTGTAACTCCTGTTTCTTGTAGTGTGAACATGTGTGAACAGTATCCTTTCTCCATCGCCTGCTTTGGATGCGCAGTGTGTTGAAAAATGAACTGCAGCACGGCGCGCCATCCACTTCATTGAAACACACACAAGAAAAACTCACAGAAGCAAACAAAGACTGTTTCGACTATATAGAGGATGCTGTTAGCTTCACCATGTAAAAAAAAAAAAAACATGCAGAAAACAAACAAACAAAGCACAACTGGACCTCGGCGCTTGACACCTTCACAACCCATCTGTGCTTCAGAAATCCTCCGGCGCCATCTTTTTTTCTGACTCCACGGCCTCCAGGTGCTTCAACCTGCGAGTGAAGAATCGGCCCCTTTTCGGACATGGAAGAACTACAAGCCTCCAAACTTGAACCAAAAAGCAAACAAAACACATTTACTTCTCAGATGAACAAGTGAGTACAAAAAACTGTTTCCAACCGTTGATTTGCAATGCACAGTGTTACATCGATTCAATCAAACTCATGTGCACTGACATTGTCACTCCACCATTGGCCGAACTCCACCTGTGGAACCAGCGCGCTTGTCGCTGCCAATCCTGCAGTCGCTGTGACGGACCAGTGGCTGGGACGGACTGGACGTCCATGCCACCTGTATGCAAAGAAGGAGTTTGTTTTTTTGGGGGAGGGAGTTGTTAACATTAACCAGTGCAATGGGGGGAGTTGTTAACAACTGCTCCGTGAATGGGGGATGTTTTCTTTTTGGTTTAACATGTGTTCCTTTTGTTTTCCTCCGGCTCTCTTTCTCTGCATGCTGCATCCTGTTTCTGATCAGCAGCTCTAGCACTACAGGTTTCGTATACTATCACATACTGCAACCTTTTTCACTCTCACAACTTGAAACTTCAAAAGCCCGCTTCCAAGGATCAAAGAATTGCTCTATCTTGCCTTTCTATAAAAGCCTGGCTTGATCATCCCAAAAACCTAAAAAATAAAAACACATTTCTTAGGCTTTTGCCACTGCTTTTGCCCAAGGCCCAAACCAAATGCCTCACCTGTTGAGTCTTCGGTCCAACCGCCTTCGGTCACACCGCCCCACCTTGGCGACTGCACGAGACACGACTCCTCCGCCTCAGTGGACTGGAGAAGAACCAGGTGTGCAGAAGGCCGTGTGTGCTCTGGTACAGGTAAGGCCTTATTCGCACATGTGACGACAACAACAACAACAACAACGGTCGGAACTTAAAACACATAGCAAGTACTACACTAATACATATGACAGTATTCTCAAGCATTCCATCGTAGTTTACATCATGTTAAGTACTACATGGAATACAACAACAGAAGGGGTGCTCCTGGAGAGGCACTGTGAGGCCATTTTTCTGTGTATTGATACTTACATCTTGATAAAATGGATCTGGGGACATCCTATGGTCAACCAATGCCAGTACTATCCTCGCGCTTCACTTCGCCGAGCTGCTTCCCGAGCTACTTGCGCCCTGTAAATGCATGGCGCGACTCTCGAGTCCTCCCAAAGCAGTAGAGCCTCGGTGGAGCAAAAGCAGTGAAGCCTCACGAGTGGCATTGCACACACGGAGGGTCCGGCATCCTTCATACCCGAAAAAACACCCTCAAAATTATATCTTAGGCCGACCGACCATCAGCTATGTCGTTCCATCAACTTGGATTTGCTTATCGACCGGGAAAACAATATACATAATATATGTAGTATATACATATATACAGAATACGATAGTATACGTATTCAACCGAAGGGAGGATTCACCCATAGGGAAAATATTGGAAAAAGACACATGACCAAACCAAGCTAAACAAACCTGGAGTGACACAAAAATACGAACATAGTCAGACCTCTTGCTCTGTTCCAGCTCCCCCCACAGACTCAGACCCCCCCCTTGGCACCTCTCTCCCGCCAAAGCTTGCCATCCACCTGTCAGGATCCGCAGGGATTCGCAGGGATGCTTCTGGCACCATAAGTACTCATCCTCTTGTGACACATGATAAGACATCCAACCCAATAGCGATGGCCCCCAACCTCCCGATGGCCTCCCGATGGCCTCCAACATACTCATTCTTTTCTGGTAGATGATAAGAAATCTGCCAAACGTGGAGATATAGGGTGTCGGATGTCTTTTTGTTTAAAGTCTTCCGAGAGAATGGTCTCTCAAACAAGAGAGGTGAAGTATTTGAATGGGGACGAGGGCATTACAACTTAAAAGGGCTGTTTAACTGATTGGAAATTTCTGACCACAGGTACTCCAATCAACTTTCAGCCTATAAACACCAACGTCAACCGTTCGTTCTATCACAATGTAATGGAACAGTGCCATCTGTTTGAGAACTTCTGCATTGCTATGCTGCTACTATATATATATATATATAATATATATGTGTATGTATTTGTGACAATGACGTTGTAGATCTTTGTAGCGCCTCTTCTCGTCCTTTGGGAGAAAACCTCTAGGCCCAGCTTTGGGCTTGAAGGAAATCCCCCGGCTTTGACCCACATGAGGCGTCCCCATTTAGGGCCACGAAGCAACCAGATCTACCAAGTTCTTACGCAATCTTTAACGTTGAATCAGACCTTTGCCACCTTTTACCACTATGCATGTTGAAGTTGTGATGCCAACCAATCCACCATCTGCCAACCAACTAACTCAAGCCAAACCAACCAACTCAAGAACCATCTAGCCAACCAACCGATTGGCCAACCCGCGTCCCTTCCCACCCATCCAGGGAATCCATCCGATTTGGACTGCTCGCCTCGTTTCGTCGTGTGGCGTCCTCCGCAGCCAAGACGCAAAGCCTCAACCAGAGATGAACATTTTAATATATATGTTGAAATATATTATATATTTATTTATTAATAGGTATATAATTAATCAACCCTCGGGACTGAAATACTAATATGTAATTTAGACTGATTTTAGACAGTTGATGAATAAAACCCTCCAGGCCTGGAGAAGTAAAACCATTCCGGAGACGGACAAGTTTTATAGATCAAGATTTTACCTGACCTACACATTCACACCCTTTTCAACCAGTGTAGGAGCCAATATGCCAGTTCCATGGAGCGTGTGAGTCTGGTTAAACAGCTTCAAGTTGTGAACAGGGTGGCCTGCATGACACGTTCAGGTCTGCACAGTCCAGGTCCGTCGGGCCCTCCGGATGAGGCGCCGAGCTTGAGAACTTGGTACAAACAAGCACCGTAGGCGCCCTGGAAACGTGCCTGGGGACAGCGGGTCGGGGTCGGTCGACAGCCTTTCGGATTGGACGACCCGGCAAACCGCAGACCAGCGGCAGACCGCTGGCCGGTGTAGGGAGGAGAGTGCCGTGTTTTGTTCGAAACGTGTTTCACAGAAAGGTGCATGGTTTCAGGGTCCGTCCCCAAAAAAGAGTTTGTTAAATTTATCTTTCATGGATAGATCAAAGATGATCAAAGTCCCTGACACGTACCTCTGTAAAGTGTGGAACAACTCGCACTTAAGGGGGCATAAGAAACACATTTAAACAACATACCATAAAGACAAACACAATAAATACATTGCACACAATCAGTAAAGTCCATCAATGCGCATACACAAGCGTATGCATGACAACACCAATGTAAAGCATCGCAAGTGACCTTTGCAAAATCAAGAAGAGAACCGACATGTTGAAGACAGTGGCACCCGTTTATATTTCGCGCGACCACTCTGGTCCAAACATGTCTGAACTGGGTGAGGAGGGCAAAGTCATGCAAAACGGGTGTAAAATTCCAAGCAAGTATAAAGATGCATGCACATTTTCCATCAAGCTAAGATCACAAGTGACCAGGGATCTGTCAGAAAGCTGCTTCTGAAGATCCTGGTAGAAGGTTTTCATGCTAGCACTCCATGAATCAAGGACAACCTGGTTGGTCCAGAAAACTCAAAATGAACACTTGCAGCCAAAATGGTGCAACACACCAAAGACACACAAAACAACATGATGATACGGGAAACAAAACACAAAAACACAGAAAAGACAGGGCTCTTAAAGAGGTGCTTGTTTACTGTTTGAGAGTTGAAATAAAATAAGTACCACTTGTGAAATTTGCGTACCAAACCTTGGGTTTATACATCATGAGTATCACTTATCAAATTTGAGTAAGAACCTTAGGTTTATACACCTTTTGTCAACCTTTGGTGGTACAGGCAGGCTGATTAACTAATGTCGAAACCGCTGCCATGACACACCAGATCAGCTACCCAAGAAAGCTTCATTTGCAAAGAACTACCCTCATGTTCTGTTTGCCTGCTTTGCGTTGGCCTCCTCGAAAAAAAAAGAAAACATGATGTTCTTGGACAATGTTTGATTCACACGGAAGGACCCATGTTGTAGATAAACCGTTCATATCTCCATGACTGGCTGAAGGTCAATACCGGGTGTTCAAGCAAAGGTTCGCATCATCTCGCGACAAAGGTCAGGGTGACCAGGGTCTGGTTGGTAAACCACCATTCACGAACGAATAATCTGAGTCAGCGGGTTCAATATGGTTCAATCATCACAAGTATAAATGTAAAAGTTAAACATCGAAAAACAAAATATATTTTAGTTAAATATATATATATATATGGTTATGATTGTTTATGCTTTATGGTCTGGTCAAACATTACTGGGTGCTTTCAACTCACTTGAACATATTCCCAAGTAATGTTTCAATCACCACCCAGGAGTTCTCACACGATCCTTTGCTTTTTGTTGATCTTCCCCACCCTGCGGTTGTGCTGGGGTTCCTGGTGTTGGACGATAGCGGCTGAAGTGGATTTCTTCATCACAACCTCTTGGGATCCTCCTCTCCTCCTCACCAAAAAAACACATCTCAACCGTCACCACCCCCATAATATAGACTTCACATGAAAATCATGAAAGGGTTCTACATCAATCGTGAAAGGGTTCTTCATCAATCGCGATTGATGAAACATGTTTCATCATGAACATCATGAACTGTTGAAACTTGGTGAACAATCAAGTTTCTACATCCAGACTCCACACCCATCAGACTCTAGACTCCACATCAAAATCATGAACGGTTTTTTCGGCCCCACGGGTGGGCGCCTCCTCGGGGCGCTCGGCCACTGCCTCCAGAAACTGTTTGAGGCAACACAAAGGAGACAAGAAATTGATGGTCTCCAAAGACTAGTGGAGATTGAACATGATGGTGTTTGTGATTGTCACATCTCCTGAAAGAATGGACAACAAAAAGCTTTAGAAGTCTGCTAAGTCCGGATGCAATTCCTCTAGAGACCAGTGGGGGGTCACATCTAATTATGTTCCATGTTGGGACCATCTTGGGTCTATCCTCCCCCCATCCACTGGATGTGGGAGTCTAGTCTATTGGTCCTCTTCTTCCATTTGGGTGAGTCTCCCTATTCTGATACACACCCAGCTCCAGCCAGCTCGACTACAGTTTTTGTGTTTACTTCATGATGGGATATGATGGGGAAGTCTTGTTTGACAGTTCTACCATGTTTTACCCACATCCATCTCCATGTCTTACCCACATCTCAGCTCCTTCGGATGGTTGAGGGGACTGGCGAGCCAAGCCAAAGGAGTGCTACGTTGAGAGCTTGGCGAATACGGTTTCAGAGGTTCGATGGCACAGACCCAAAGATGTCCTAGACAGATGATGGGGGTCCATATAAACCACCGACATTGGGGTCTGTGCCATTGGTCCTCTCAATCCACTATATGCATTTCAAAAATTAACCATATAGCAAATAGCAAATCATGTATATAGTTCCTGGAAAAATTTTGTTGCAAGGGTTCGCTCAAAGCAGCTTCAACAAAAACCTTGAACTTTGTCATGCCCAACTGCGACACGGCCTCCCGTGATGCAGCCAGAAGTACTTGCCAAGCATCCTGGAGGTACATGGGTTCCAACATGTCAGCATCAAGTGTTAGAACATGCACATTTGTGGAGTGACTGTACCATTTGTTGAAAAAAAAGTCCATCCGGCATACTCACCCTACGAAAAGTCTTGACCAATGATTCTATTGCCAAAGGAGTGAACAACCTCTAAATGTGTAAATCCGCAAGCGGAACCGGGCGGTTTGATCCATGTACTAGATTGTACTAGTAAGATCCTTGAAATCGGCATCAGGTCCACACGCTGTCCAAACCAAGTGTCAGTCTAAACCATTGTCTTCCTCAACGACTCAATGGATATCGTTCCAGTGGTGACTGGGGCTGCTGTTGACATCGGATCTTCCCTGGTTTTTAGAAGCCTCAGAGCTCCCTGATATGCCCTGATATCCATTGGTTATACCCTGAACTGAACTGCTATACCACGCTATAAGCCCTATCTGCCTCACTTCACGCCTCCCAGAGGCTGCAGCGACGTAAGGACTTCGCCAACAGCAGCTGTACCTCGTCCGGGACGCCGCTCGGACGAAGGCCGATCGGGCCGACCGGAGCGATCGGAGCATCCGTGACGAGGGGGTGTGAAGGGCTGTGGGCTTGTGGACATTGAAATCGTCTAGTTTTTGCTTTCGTGTCGACCTACTACGACATGGAAGCAGGGCTTTTCAAAAAAAGGGGATGGGAAGTGGTAGGTTGAAACTGGCCGGTTTTGTCCTCTCTAGGTGTTCCTAGCCCAAAGCCGTAGCCGTGGAAAAAAAGGAAAACGGGAAGCTCAGAGCACCCTAAGTTCAGAAGCCCAGAAACTTGAGCATTCCTTCAGCATTGGCGTGCCGCGCTCTGCTCCAACTCTTTTTACTCAGGTGACCCTGGAAAGTGCAGGTCCGCTGTCTCAACCAGCACCCAACTCTACAGGTCTCCTCTGATGGCTGAAATGGAGACTTCAAGGTGACAGGTGGTGACCATTGGGTGGTGAAGCATGGAAAACTTGCTCGGACTTGTTACAAACATCGGCAGCTGTTACCAACAACCAAGAACACCTTTTTTCCAGAGAGCAGATCAGTGCTTCAATGGGCCTCATGGTCCTGGGAAAATAAAAGTTCCTGAGTGCCCGATGGATGTCATCCAGGTCATCCAGGTCATGCAGGTCCATACTGTCAATACGGTCCTCGGCACAACAAGACATACAGGGAGGTAGTATCCTCCACATCCAGGCATCCAGCCACAATCCAACTGCGATCCTGTACACTCGGAATGTGGACCGGGGCCGGTCACTTTGGGAGTGTCTATCGAAGAGGTGAACAGGCCTTGGTTGCATTATTGCAAACTCAAGTCCTTCCTCTGGGTCGTCCGGATCCACTGAGAAGAAGCTGTGCTGCAGAGCCTCAAACAACTGCGGTCATCATGGGTCCAAAAGAACAAACCATATGTCTTTAAATCGCCCCCTTTATGATAAAGAGGCACAAATCATCACAAATTATTTATCAACATGTCAAAGGATTTCTTTTCTACCATTCTACCAACCGCATGGCCTCCCAGGCTCGAGCTCGTTCGAAGCGGCTCCATGAGGTCATATGCTTAACAAGATCAGCTCCGTGCCTCACTTCTCTTGAAAGAGTATATACTGTAACATAACATCTACAAAGCTGGCTTTGGGAAAATGAGAACAATGCAACAGATTGAAAACATCGTTGCAGATACACAAAGCACAGCTGCAATCAAATACAGGTGGCTTGGCTCACAGGCATTATATAATTAAATACGGCCAAGGAATTCACCGAGTCACTTGTAAAACATGGTTCCCTTAAGCTTGCCATACATTCGCAAACCATCCAATGCCTCTTGCATGTTCCCTCGGCGACCACGCAAGTTCTCATGGAATTGTTTGCGCAGATTGACCCGGAAGAGCAGATTGACCCGGTCGCGACTGCGACGGCCATATTCACTATGACTGCGACGGCCATATTCACTATGACTATGATAGAAAAGTCGAGTATGTTCATCCATTCCAAGCAGTAACTCAGCTAGGATAATGCCTGCACCATACACATCCCGCCGATGTCCGTACAAGACATTGTGGCCATGCTTGCTTCGGCCGGTTTGAGGTATCAACACTTCTGGAGCACTGTGGTAGGGGTTGGATCGGTAGCACACCTCCAAGTCATTGCCATACTCTGAATTGCCCATGTCAACAAGTTCGTGTTCGTTCACAGCTGACTCAAAGTCAATCAAGGTGAGCTTTCCGTCAGCATAAAGCACATTCTCGCGCTTGATATTGCAGTGAACAATTTCACGAAGGTGTAGAGCATCAAGCACCTGAAGCAACTGCTTCATGTACAAGTGAATGTCCTGTGGCTCTTTGGGTGAATGGTTGCCGTCTATGTATGGAAAGTACAAACTACGCAGCTGGTAGGTGTCGCACCCAGGAAACCACTTGGGTGAGCACTTGGACCAAGCCAAAACTGGAACCACTCCCTCGACCTTTGACAAGGACTTGATGATTGCGGCCTCATAGAGGAGTTGGTCTTGAAGACATGAATGTCGTCGAAATCGATGCATGGTCTGCGTCAGGTATGTCTTCCTGACGACTTCACCGAAGCGGCTGGTCTTCACCACAGATACATCAATGGTCCTTTCACGGTCGCGGTGCAAGGTTTTGACGTAGTCAACCTCACTTTCCTCCATCTTGGCACATAGGAAATCCAATTCCACCACTTGGTCTCCGACCACAACCTTGCGATGTTAAATCACAAGTGTAAGAGCAAAAATAGTATACAATACAAATCCAGCTAGGACAAACCCTTTGGGGCATTCTGAAATCCACTATCAAGAAACCTTCCGCCCAGGGCCTTCCAGCTCAAAGTGACCTTCCAAAGCTCGTTGGAGGAGCTCTGCTTTGGCTGAGGCTTTCTCATCTAGGCCATATGGTCTCAGGACGAGCTTGCCTCCTTTCAATGGTTTGGATGCTAAGTCCGATTTGGTCTGATGTATCTTGTCCACCTCTCCACGAAAGCTCCCTGTGAACCTTCCAAGAGGGCTGTGCTCCTCACTTCCACCATCTTCAACTTCGTATCCTCCCAAACTTCCACCATCTTCAACTTCGTACCCTCCCAAAACGGCCGAAGCTTTTCGTTTGCAGCCATCTGTGTCTGCCAAACCATGCACTGGGAAGGATTCATGGGTGCCGCTGCTGTCCGAACCACTTTTTGGAAGGTGTTTGTCTCTCTCGATCTGCTTCTTCACATGCATCGAATCGGAATTCCACATCATCTTGGACATCGACAGAGCTCCAGGCCATGCACCCAAGGGGCGTGAAATCGGCCGGTAACCGGTTGGAGGGTGCTGGAACAAAGCATGAACTGTGCAGCAAAGAACCCAAACCAATACACTAAGCGCATTCAATCATTCCCTAGAGATCCAATGGTACCTTCTCAAAAGGTGATTGGACACTGTTATGTAGCTACTTGGATCCCTAGGGCTTGATTCATGCGTTTTCCACCTCGTTTTCCACATCCTTCGCCCCGAAACTGGGCCGCACCCAGTGTCGCGGCGTCAACGCTTCGCCGGCGGCACCGCCCCAAGCCTGGCGTATCGCTCTAGTCGCGGAGAAGGACTGGTCGTTTCCTTTTTGCCGGTGAAACCGGGTGAGAACATGGAGAGAACGTGGAGAGGGTACACACAAAAGGATGGAGAAACATAGAGTTGATGCGAAGTGATCACATGCAATCAGGAGTTGTTCTGTTTCAGAGAATGAAAAGAAACACCAAAACATACAGTGTCCAAACCCAGAGTGACCTTGCTGACCGGTCATGGTACACGATGCGAAGACTCCGTCGTCTTCACATCAAGCGCTTCCATGAAGCCATTTGCTGCCTGGAAGAAGAAGAAGATCCCTCCATGAATCAATCCTTTCAGTTCTCTCAGGATCTATTTGTTGATTTGTAGACCTCTTGCACGGGAAAAACAACAACACAGTTTGGGTCATCTGGAGTTTGTCCTGATCACTGCAAGAGGCCTCATTAACACGTGGACAAGCACGGAGGCCCGGACCAGCTGAACAAAAAGCTGCTCACACAGACTGCCAAGACCACCTTGGAAGCGTAATTGTTCCGCCTTTCAGGATGCAACACATTGGCAGAACATATAGGGAGACTGGAGACCTCTCAAAGACTCAAACCCCCTTGAAAGAAGGAAAATAGACCAAAAACCCAATGGTTTGGGCGTCGTCCTATTTTAAGTACACACCCCTTCTCCTCCTTCTCCTTAACAGGGTCACTTCCTGTCTGAGTCCAGCTACCATGAGTGTGACCGTCACGACATAGAGGCGTGATGGAAGTCATGGAGACTTGATTGATTCAAGTGCCTTACTAGTAGTAACAAGAAGCTAGTAGTAACAAGTGCAT